ATTATTCTCTTTTCAATAATATACGTAAATATATATCAAAGAAGTTAGTATTGTTCGTTAATCAAAATTAAAATTTTTATCTAGATAATATATATAAATATATGAAATTTACATTAAATATACTTGTAGATAAAATTATTAGAGAACAATATCAACTATATTTAAAAAAAATTAGCTTAAATATGTTTTTAGTCCTACAAATTTAAAATAAATTTGTTTTTGATCTCTCAAATTTAAAATTATTATTTTTAGTCTCTGTAATTTCAAAAAAAATTATTTTAATTTTTATATTTAAATTTTATTAAAAAATTTGTTAAACAATGTAACATAAAATATTTTTATTAATAAAAATCACGTTAAACACAATTTTTTGGTTCGTCCCTGGAGTATCCACAGCTACTCTCGCTACGTTGGAGACACCTCAAAGGGTGGGATAGTTGGCCCCAAGATTTAACACGGCTGCATACACAATGCAGAATTCTGACTTTGCTTAAGCGTGGATCAACCCCTACCGCTGAACCACACGCTTGAGGTTACGTTAAACACAATTGATGGTACATAACTATCTCAATCTGCTAACATAATTGTCTTAACCTATTATTTATATATATATTATTCATGATTTAAGGGACTAAAATAAGATTTTTAAAAATTATAAAAATTAAAAAAAATTAAATTTGAGATATCAAGAATAAATTTATCCTAAATTTGATAAATTAAAAATATATTTAAGCCTAAAATAAAAATAAAAATAAAAAGGATAACTTAAATGTATAATTTTAGATAGTTACTTAAAAAATATGATAGATTTATTTTTTCTTAACAAATGAAGAATTCAATGATTCACTAAAAATATAAACTAAAAACGATTATTCATAATCTCCTTTATAATAAACTAGTGAGTCGAAGTACTTTGTGTCTCAATTAAAGATAAAATTAAAATTAAAATTAAGTAATAAAAATATAATGATTTAACTAGTGTTATAATTAGTTCATTAGTTTTAAGGTATTGAATTTGATTATATATATATATATATATATATATATATATATATATATAAATTTAAATATAAAAAGACATAATGGTCAACAAAATGTGAAAACACTAAATAGGATAGTCCCTTTATATATAATTTTTTTTATAAAGATGAAAAAGCTTACAAAAATGACCACAATAAAAAAAAAAATTGGTAAAGTTTTTTTTGATAAAAGACCACAATGAAGATTGAACCTATGTTCCTAAGCTTTTAATTATCCTAATCCCCCCTCACCCGATCACTAGTGGTTATATCTCTTTTCTATCCTAGTATAAATAAAGATATAGATATTGAAATTAACCTTATATATTAAATACGAATTTTGTGTCAAAGGTTTTAAGAAATTTTTATGAGATGAGAGGATTTTTATAGATTTTTTTATCTTCATATCTAATTCAATTTTTTATTTATCATAATAATTTATAAATTAAATAAATCATCAATAAAAAATTGTGCTATAATATAAATCATTTATAATATATCTAAAATATGATTTATATATTTAAAAACATTTATTTATATAAATTTTAAATATAATTTATATATTTAAACAGAATAATTTTATATATAATTTATTATAAATTTTAGTAATATATAATAAATATTTGGCTTGTGTAAATACTAGTTAAAAATAAATTATAAAAGTAGATTATGTAATTATGTTATTTATATAAGATAAATATATTACTTAATTTAACTAAACATTTAAAAGTAATAATTAAATTTATTTACAATATCATTATTACTTTAATTATTTTTATATTTATTATTTTATTAGTTATGTCAATATTAAACTAGTTGTAATTAATGAAAATGACTATAAAAACAGTAATAAAATATGAAAGATCTAAAAGCAATGCAAGAACAGAAACAAGAGAGAAACATAATTGCATAGAATTAAAACATATTTAAACTTATGCAATTTAATAAAATATATTGATAATTAGATGAAATAAATGATTTAAAGAGTTATTTGTAATATAGATATATAATACATTGATAACTAAAATAATTTAACCGTAACTCAATTATAAATTATGATGTGTAATAAATTTATTGACTTCTATCATAATTACTTTAAAATTATACTAATAATTGTTTTGATAAATTTGTTAACTTTTATAATAAACACTTTAAAAATTATATTAATGATTATTTCTGAATTTGTTGTCTATGTAAAAGTTTTTATACTTCCAATGCATTACTATCGCTCTATTCCTGAAGGATAATGTTTTAGCACGACGCCTTCTACTCTCTAACTTAGACTCACTTTAAAAGTCTTTACTTTTTGGATGAAAAGTAAAGATAACGAGTGTTTATTCGTTTATTTAAACAAATTGAATTTAAATTGTTTAAAAAAATAAAGGTTAAACTTGTTTGGTTTAATTATAACTGAAATTATGAAAGAGGGCAATTTCGCTATAAAAAAAATCCAGAGCACCCTAATAATAACTATAAATAAATAAATAAATAAAGGTTAAACAAATAAGGTTAACCCTAGCAGTTGAATGAAACCATTCTACCATTACATTTTATTAAACAGTTCATGTTAAGATGAATACCCTAATCGGCAAGACATCATGAAACAACAAAGCACCCATACCTATGGCTATCCCAAGTCCAAAGCAAACAAACATGAGCAACCAGCATCACACGAGTTATTTTTTCAAATCATTTCAAATTCTGTTATACACAATTTAGATGAAGCAAAATGAGTATCGACCTTTATAAATCCACCTCGGTACAAATGGGGACTTCACATCCCCCAAAGGAAATTGAAAAGGATGCATTTCATTCGTTCCAACAGCTAAATAAATTACAAATTATAACCATATATTTGAAACCAGTGTGGACCGTTGAAGTGAAATTCCATCAATATCAACCTTCCTCTCCAAACTCCTTCGTGAATTTCTCGTGAACATCAAGGTCACTTTTGCTTACTGTAGGCCTTTGTCTAGCGAGTACCTTATCAAAATCTGTTCTTGTAATAGGGGGCGGAAGGATCTGCAATAAGTTTCAAATAGTAAGAATTTAAAATAAATAAATAAACAAACTTGTATTACCATAAAAAGCTATAACACGTTAGATACCTGAGAAGCAAGTCCTTTTGCAGCAAGCTCCTGCATTGTGGTTTGTACTGCACCCTGTTGCTTTGGTCCACATGGGATCCACATACCCTCAGGATTCTTAAAGAAGAACATTGCATCTTGGGTTTTGCGAACAGGTTCAAATAAGACATCCTTTACCTGAAGAGGTCCCAAAACATTTTACTTGAGACTCATCAAGTATAAGATCAGTGAAACCAGTCATTTCATATAGAAGTCAAACTTACACAAACAGATATATCTGAACCAGAAAACCCCTCTGTCCTGCTAGCCAAGTATTCAAAATCACTTTCAGTCAAGTTATGGGGAGTATCTCCCAGATGCACCTGCTCAATTTATTAAGCCAGAAAAATAACATGGTAAAACCCTTTGCTAGGTTTATATAGAGCACAACAAAATCCACCATTCAACAATCAAGTATATATTGTCCTTGCCTTGAACATGTGTTGACGAGCCTTCAAATCTGGTAGTGGAATATATATGCGCTTATCAAAACGACGCCTTATTGCCTGCAATTACAAATTGATTAGCAAAAACAACATAGCATTGATTCTATATGGGATAGCATAAAAAATCAAATCAGTCTGACCTGGTCTAAGGCATAGGGCGTATTTGTTGCTGCAAGAACAAGAACTTTCTGATCATTGTGTCCTACACCCTACAAAGTAAGTAGATAAACAAAATTAAATAAAGAGAATTGAGAGAGAACATAAAACGAAAATGTTGGACACTGCCCTGATGTTAATAGCATGAAAGTGAATCAAAATGAGAGAATAAAATATAGATAAGCAAGCCATATTCTGACGTTATTATGCATTTGATTGGGAAAATTGGGGATAAATCTTATAAACTAATAACTTCTGGGTTCAGCTTAAATTAAGCAGTAAAACCGAAAACAAAATCACTTCTTTGAGGGAAAATATTTTGATATGCAACTCAATTATCAAAATCACATGCAACTTTATACATGACTAAAAACCATCAACCAAGTTACTTTCCAAATTTTGAAAGGTCAAGGATAAGAACAAAGACAATAACACTAGGTGCTTCTGAGTGTTTGGCTACCTGTAAAACATGCTTCATTGGTTTAGTTACATAATAACAAATACATATCCGGTTGAAAATACATATTAAATAAAAATCAAACACGATGGGCTGATAATCAAATAACAATTCACAAATATGAAAAACTCTAGGACCGCAAATCATGGATTACCACACAGAGCTAATGCTCCTCCTTTTCTTAGACATGGATATTAGATAGAGAGCAATTCAAAGTATGCAACTTTGTTTGTGAAATGGGGACATCTTATCAAAACAAATACAGGACAAGACATTCTGAATACACTGCAAGGGAGGACTTTAAATCTAAGGTGAATGTAATTATTAACAATCATGGCTTTGAATTGTTTACAAGAAATACAGAGAACTCTACAATCTGATTAAAGGTTTAAGGAAAGCATAGAAATCTCATCAAACAAGTACAGGACAGGACATGCTAAGTACACAGCAAAGGAGAACTTCAAGTCTAAGGTGAATGTAATTATTAGAAATCATAGCTTAGACTTGTTTTGAACAAGAAAAACAACCGAGACAACTGCTGATTAAAGGTTTAAGGAAAGAATAGAACTAAAACTAGCTTCGTGTTTTGCTGTTATTGTACACACAAACAGACTTGAAGACCCTAAACCCAATAAGAAGCAAGGGCCAGTGTGAATTAGATCAATCTTGATCCACTACTAACTACCATAGCCTCCTCACATGTTGGAACAAGAAAAACTCAGCTGAACTGAAAAATTGTTTTAAATGAAGGTTTACTGGTTTAGCCTGTCCTATTTACAACCAACAAAATTGAAGCATGCAAGATTTAATATGCACCCAGCCATCTGAGGACAAAGCCAAAGGAAGGAAACTTACTTTTGAAAATGAATTGCTCGCACCTAAATGGGTTTATACCAAAGAATTTAAGAAAGTACTAATGCTTTCTCTTCATGATTTGCAACTAAATTATAACAGATCCACATATAAGGCTATATAACTGGGACTAAGGCTTCTTGACAGCTTGTTGTGCACATGCAACACTTCAATTCAAATGTAAACTAACTATTAAAACTATTACCTGCATCTGCACCAGAAGCTCTGTTTTAATTCGTCTTGAAGCTTCACTCTCATTGCCTTCTCCACGCTGACCACATAGGGAATCTATTTCGTCAATAAATATGATAGAAGGGGCACTTTCTCGAGCCATTTGAAAAAGGTTTGAAACCAGCTTTTCACTTTCACCCATCCACTTTGAAACAAGGTCTGATGAAGAAACACTGATGAAGAATTCAAAAGTTAAAAATGCTTGCAAGAACAAGTCCACTTATGGACCTACATTCATAACAATACAAAAGACCCTTTTTTAATAAATATCAAACATATCTCAAATTCTGAATAGAAACAGAATTATTGTCAAGAAAAGGCTGAAAAAATTGAAGAATGGATAAGAAGAAAATTATAATCATACACACATGACACATCATCTTCAAAAAGCTAAACAATTTGGAATAAGTATTGCACAATATATCATAATTCTAGAAATTGAAAGTTTTATGTTTTAAACCACATGCTAAACTATTTTCATTTTTCATTTTATTGGGAAAACCACAAGTCTCACATCGAATAAAGATAAGGCAATTAAAGAGTACATAAGTGAGAGCAACCCTCACCTTACAAGTCGATTTTTTAAGATTGAGTTAGGCAATTAACCCACTATTCTAAGACATTTTACTTCCTTTAATTTTCTTAAGCAACATAAGATTTAAAAATGATAGAGGACAACAAAGATAACTATAAGAATGTAGCAGTTTTTAATGATTTTAGAGTTTCATTTGAATTATTATTAATGTAATTTCAATCATGTAGACCTAGAATGCTATTGAGATAGATACTAAATAGAGAGAAAGTCCTAAAAGATTGCTTGCCAGGAATTCAGGCATGGTAATAAAAATTAAAATTGGGATTCAAATCATAAAATGGCACATTTTTAATCCTTTTCATTAATTCAAATTGTGCATGAAATTGGACAGGAGAAAAAATTGTGATTTAAATCTCAAAATTGTAGGATTTAACTGAATTTACAATGTTGCTAGACTGTTCAACTTGGAAGTGTTCCATTGATGTATTCCACATATCTAAAACAGCAGGAAGAAATCTTTTAAGATTTTTGATGAACATCCATAGCTCAAAAGATTAGCCATTCACATATTAAGCTTGACACATGGTTTCTCTAGGTGTGAATGTAACCGGAGTGCCTTTGAGATGGTAATATTTCTAAAATGTGGAATGTGAATTGTAATGTGCCTTTTAGACTTGCCTACTAGCCTATCTTAATTGTATTTGCATCATGTGCTTAGGACTTTAGCTCCACACCAAGAGAAGAAACTGCTTAAAGCAAAAAGCAATAAATGATGTTTTTTGTCATGGCTAATTCAACATTGGGAAAAAAGAAGCATGCTAGGAGAGCTCCTAAGCTAGATCTTCAATTTTCGTCTGATGATGAGTGGATAATGGAAAAAGATGATAAAATTGAAGGTTTGGATGTGGACAACTTAGATTTGGATGCTCCAAATAATGATGAGAACTTGGTTCAAGATCAAGAGATAGAGGATAAAGATGAAAACTTGGTTCAAGACCAAGTTGGAGTGGATAGTGGGTTATCATGATGACGAGAATTTGGTTGACGAATTTGATGAAGTTGAACATAAGGATCGAATGGTGGATCCTTATGATTATAATGAGGCGCATTTGTTAGATAAGACATCTAGATTCTAGGATTAAAATATTACTATTTTCTTTTGGTGTTCAAGTTTTATGCCTTAATGTGTTGTGTACTTGTGTTTTGGAAAGGTTAAGTTTCTTTACTACTATATGGATTATGACTTCTGACTACGATGCATGACATTTATGTAGTATGGATAATGAATTTTCTTAAATATTACTACTTGATTAACAATTTAACAAATTTTACCCCTCCCAATTTAAGATAAAGTATTAAATTCTCAACTTTTACAAGAATTCAAGTTTTAATGCCTATAAAAGGGTATGCAGAAATTGAGACACGCATGTATTTCAACTTATGAATCTGAATTCATTCCAAAGATTTTCCAAGAAACCTGGTAAATCAATTAGTCAATTCCATAACCATTATTCCTGCCTTAAACCTGAAAAACAAAAAGTTTACCTGAAAAATGTGGACTCGGCTTCCGTTGCAACTGCCTTGGCTAAATACGATTTTCCTGTTCCGGGAGGTCCATACAACAGAAAAGCTCTCCAGGGTCGTCTTTTACCTGAAAGGGATCACGAGGAAGCATGTGAAAACAAAATGCACCTCATTTTATGATAATTCTATTATACAGTGGCAGTGTATAAGGGAACAAAGAAACAACCCACCAGTGAAGAACTGAGGGAACTTCACAGGCAAAATCACAGCCTCCTGCAAGGCCTGCTTGGCGCTCTCCAACCCTGCGACGTCGTTCCACTTCACGTTGGGCTTCTCTCTAATGATGGCCGAGTTGAGCCCGGCCCGGAGCTTGGCCTGCTCGGGGTCCTCCCCGTCGCCGCCGCCCTCGCCGTCCTTGGGCTTGGTCTTGGGCCTAGCAGCGACAGCTGCGTCCCCGTTGGAGGCCGGGCCGGGGCCTCCGTCGTCGAGGACGGCGCGAATCTCCTCGGCGCGGCGCAGGTACTCGGTGAATTTCTGCGTGATGGCTTCCTTGATCTTAGGGTTCTTCTCGTACTTGAGATGCGTCTTGAAGTACTCCAAGGCGTTCATGTAGAGAGGGAAGGCTTTCGTGTAGTTTCCTGCATTGTCTTCCTGCACGGCTTGCTTCACGTACTCTATCGCTTGCTCTTTGAAATTGCTATACATCTTCTTCTTAATGGCATGTACGAGAATCGAAAATCTGAACCAAGATCGGCGGTGAAAGGAGAGGGAGGAACCCTAGAGCTGCATCGCGATCGGAGAGAGGGAGAAGGCGCGGTGGATTTTCTCGAAACCCTAACTGTGAGAATCGGAAGTGATCGGAAATGCGAGGACAGAAAGGGGAAAAGAGAAGAAATGAAAACCCAATGGTGTTTGGTTTTGCTGTCCCAAAACTACGCCTTTCGTTTATTTTGTGTCAAACTAGTATCCACACTTGCACCCACGGGCTTACAATTTTTGTTGTTATTACAATAAATTCAAATTTATAAACTCTATATATAAAATTGAAGATTTGCAAGGAATCTTTCAATTTTATATTTATTATAATTATTTATCAATTAAATTTAATATTTTAAAATAAATTTTTAATAATAAAAAAATTGTGTTATAAAATAAATTTTTATCGTAAATCTAAAATATAATATATTTTAAAAAAAATATGTACTTATTTAAATTTTAAATATAATTTATATATTTAAATATAAATATTTATATATCAAAAAAATCATAATGTTTATATGGTATGAATGATATATGGAAAGTCATTAAAAAAGATTTTCATAAGATATGAAAGACTCTTATATCCAACTTTCCAAATATGTTCTTTTAAACTCATCTCTTTCTCTTGCAAACAATGTTTTCAAAATACTTTTATTAAAAGTTGAAAACCTTATAGAATACTCATATGTTCCTATAAATGTTCATATCTCATAAACATTTATTCATTTACTTAATCCCTATAATATTTTTAGGAGACAAAAATCTACTCTCAAATCTATCTCCAAGCTCATATATACTAGAAAATCTCATGTTAAAGAATATGTTCAATCTTCTATAATGGATCAATGTTCTTTGGTTACCACCTCTGAAAAATAATATGTCAGTATTGAGATTTCTCAAGAGCTTATCAGACAAGGACAACATAAAGGCTACACTCACCTTCATTATGAAGCAATTAGATTGATTCTTTCTCTCCATGGAAAAAAAGGTCTACCTGCCTTGACCTGAGTCTCTCTTTTAGACTCCAGTTATTTCCATTATGAGAATGTTGATATTGGGATTATCCTAACTATACTATATATTGGAAGTGTAGCCTTAACCACCTTTTCTAACTACAATGTTAGTTTGAAAGATTCTACCGTTCCACAAAGACTAAAGGTTTGAGTCCAAATCATTAGACTAGACCAAGTAGCTGATGATATGTTAGCCATTATTTACCACTAAATAATCTATAAACTACAAGATTATGCCATCATTCTCTAATTATCTATTAGTAATGATGGTGCAATGTTTGTCCTAACCAACAACCAAAAGGAGACTTATTCGATCATTCAAATCCCTAAGAATATCTCTAAGCAATAATTACAAGAACCCATTCCTTTAGAATGAATGACTAATTATGAGAACTGCATGAAAATAGAAGCCTATACAGTCATTAAAAGTAATTTTTAGAAGGTTTGTAGATGAAATTGTGAAAACCATCTTCAAAAGACCTGATGAAGCCTCTAGTAACAATTCATAATTCTTCCATTTGTCAAAGAGGGAAGGGTTCCTATTTATGTAGTCCATCTTGACAGAAGAACTATTTATACCTATAAAGTGAATGTGAATGGTCATTTCATATGGGATGTAGATCCTAATATATGTGATCGTGGTTGTCACTATTGGCAACATTCTAGTGATACTAATAATGAAGAAGAGGATGAAGATGAAAACAATGACCAATGGAAAAGGAGATCATATAAGCCACATTTTTCTCCATAATGGATGACTAAATTCTTAAAAAAAGGTTTAGATATCTTAAAAGAAGAAAAATTTATTCCTCCAAAAGAGCCTTTAAAGTATAATCAATGTAATCAAATGATAGATTCACCAATTAGTCAAATAATTTCTTGCATGATGATCACTAAAACATCATATGATCAAGAGTCTTCTCTTGATAGAAAGATTGATCTAGTTACCAAAATTACCACCAAGCCAATTATCACTCCATAAGAAGTTCGACCTAATGGAAGGACTAAATCATTAAGTTAAGTAGAGGAAGTATTGAACTGGAAGACTGAAAATGTCAAAGCCCAAAATGTTATCTTGAAGAAAAATTGATGCAAAGATGGACAAGTTTTCTTCGCATCTTGAAGAATCAAATGGAAAGTTGCAATATTTTTTTTTTCAAAGATGAGGAAATATTATAAACAACTCTCAATTGATATTTCTCACTTAAAAGAAAATTGGAGAAAGACTACTTTTGGAGAAGCATCTAATGTCAGAGAGGGAGAAAGGGAGATAAAGATAGAGAGATAAGAAGACTCAAAGCCCAAATATAAGATATGGGTAATTATATAAAAGCCAAATCAAAGAAAAACAAACACGTGAACCAAATCCATATTCTTCATTGTCTTCTACTCTTCCTACATATCATTTTCCTTTTCAAAAACCACATGCTTACTTTTTTCCACAACCAAATTCCTCATGGACCACACCCACAACTCATAGACCAAAACCTAAACTTGAATCTCCATTAGAGAGACCAAAACCTTCTAAAAAAAAGCTCAAGGAGATAAGTACTTTATCTATTGATTATTTAGAATAACCCCAAGAGACACAACCTCCTTCTAAGAAACAAATTTTCCAAGATTTTCAAGATTCATATTCCCAATTTGTAATAGAACCTGTTATGATAAACTAGAAGCTCTAGAAATCAATGTTTCTTTATAAGTCAATAATGACGATTCTTCCTCTAATTTTAACTCTAAAGAACAAAAAAAAATTAAGGTTATGCTAATATAACCAATATCTTGATGACTCACACAGTTGGTTCAAAAGTGAGGAACAAATCATTTTATGATTCCCTTAATGATGAAGTCAATTCTTTTCCTTGCAAATCTAATAGTTCCAAATCCAATTGTAGACCTTGGCTTACTTTTGATGATATTCCTCCCAACAAATGGAGGAAAATAATCATTGAATTTGGAGCATGGTTGGATACCAAACTTATGAAGGATGTTGACCCCTACAAAGTTATTGAAGAATTATGTTGTAGAATGATTGGTACTTTGAAAGAATGGTTCCATAATTTAAAAGTTGTGAGACAAGATCAACTTCGTAGATTCAATACAACCATAACTGTTCTTAGAGCACTTCATCAAGAATTCATTGGAGATGGAGATATTATTGACAAAAAATTGAGGTAGGAATTCTTTGAAATGAGATGTTCCCTCAAAATAAGAGATCTAAACAAACATTTTCAAAGATAGAGTCAAATATTTTATCTTCTAAATGGTCTCAATGAACACAGTCTGAAAAACACCTACGTAACTTCTTTGCCATTAGAAATTTAGTTATAACTCAACATAATGGCTATAGCTTCTCAAGAGGATTTCTCAACAATGACTATGGACCAAATTTATCAAATGACTCTAGAAGTTATAGACAAACTTTACATGAACACCAATACTTTTTTGATATCATGAATTAGAAATCTAAATACAGTAGAGTTTGTAAGAAGTCCTATTTAGAGATCAAATACAAGGATAAAAACTTGTTTTTGTTTAACAAAAAAAGAAGATAAAACTATCCAAGTTTCCTAAAAAAGAAAAAAAGGCTTTTAAATTCTTTAGAAAGAAAAAGATGAAAGGAAGATCTAAAGACCAAAGGTGTTTTATATGCAAAAAATAACATTTTTCTAAAAAAATTGCCCTCGCAAAGTAGAAAAAGGCCATTAAACTCATCTCATCCCTCAATGTTGGAGATGACGAGGTATAATCCATCTACTTTGAGCAAAGCTTTGCAAATAAGGAAACTATTTTTGCTTTAAGAGAATCCTTTTATGGGGTTGATTCTTATGGTTCAGAATCTGAATCAATTTTAGTTTTCTCTCTACAAGAGCTAAGCAATATTTATTTATCTACTATACAACCTTGCATAGAGATCCAACTATTACCTTTAAAGTTTGAGAAACCCATTAAACTTATTACTTGTATGGATACAAAAGCACAAAAAAAATGTGGAAAAAAAGTATCTTATTTTGTAGTAACTAATGGTAAAATATTTTGGACATGTTTAATCATAAATCCCTTGTTGAATCAAATTATTCACTGAATGCATTGTTTGGCTAAAAGTAATTGGGAGCAAGTTACCAAATAAGGACATCATTAGTGGTATAAATGTATATATTGTTGCAAATAAACTTTAAATACATTTCACTAAGATAAGATTCAAAAGAGAATTCAAACCCTTCACTCAAGTAATAAGATTGTTTTCTTTAGTTGATGCTCCTTTTGAGTTTGCTGGAATAAAAAGTAAGATAGTCTTTTTGTGTACTAATAGTCATGAAGAATTCTCTCATCTAAGTCCCTTATGGAAGAATGAAATTTTTTTCATTCAACTTCCTTTCAAACTTAATGAAGATGTCAATCTTACAAAGGTCACTCATCCAAGGACGACTCCTTCAAATCTACAATTAGCCAAACAAGAATGTAGCAAATTGCTTAGACAATGTCTTATTAAACTCACATAATCAAATCGGGCTTGTCAGGCTTTTTACGTTGAAAAGAGATCAAAACGAATTCAGGGGAAAAAGAAGTAGATTAGTGATTGCAAGCCTTTTAATCATTTTTATAAAGGATGGCAAGTTCCATATTCCTAAGGCTTCATCTTTACTTGTTCTCCCCAAATAAGCAAATATTTTCTTAAAGTTTGATCTCAAGTCTAAATTTTGGCAATTGGGCATAGATCCAGTTGATAGACATAAAATTGTTTTTTGAATTCCCAATGCATAATATCAATGGAAGGTATTACCTTTTGGCTTCAAGGTAACTCTTTCATTATTTCAAAAGGAGATGACCAAAATCTTTGAACCTATCCTAAATAATGCTTTCATCTACATAGATGATATTTTGTTGTTTTCCAAGGATATGGATTCACACAAGTGTCTTCTGAATCAATTCTTTAACATAGCATATCGATATGATATCATGTTGTCTAAGAAGAAAATTCATCTAGCACAATCTAAAACGGACCTTCTCAAAATGCATTTTTCCCAATAAACTTATCAACCTCAGTCTCACATAACTGAAAAACTTTTCAACTTCTTAGTTCAATCTCTAACGATAAAGCAAATTCAACAATTTTTTGGGGATTCATCAAGTATATTTGGGACTTCATTCCTCAAGAAGCCAAATATATCAATTAATTGTCAAAACTCTT